TCCTAGAATTAGTAATACTCCGCAAATGGAAAATGTACCTTTTGCTTTCCAAGATGACCATGTCATCCGAAATCGTTTCACCACTAATACATGTAATCATAAATTCTGACACTGGCAAGGAATTAGGGTGACAAGACAGCAATGAGAAAAGTGTTAGAGAAACGTAGGAATTAGCTCAGCTTATAGGATTCAACTCTTTTGCCCAGCGGACAGCTTGACGGATGTCAAGGAGCAATAGCCACCAGGCATACAATCGCCTGGATTCCCCTTGCTCCCTTCTGCAGCTCACAGGGCACGTAAGGACATTGGTCCTGTATGACCGCTACGGCATAACGTATAGGAATAACAGTTTCCACAGGCTTTGAGTGCACAGAGGTGTGAGTTATAATGCTATACTCTGTGGGCTGTGTTGGAACCTACCAGTGTGTTATTTTGAGCAGAAATGGTGCAAATCCACAAAATATAGATCTGGCCTAAATATTAGGGGCGCATGAAACCATTACTAGGTGCAAGCAGCTGCAGAATTCAGCTCAAGCAACAGCTGTAGTTTTTGGAGCCCTCCAAGGGCTGAGCGTAGTTTAGTTTAGACCCAAAACGTGCTCTCGAGCCAACAAAGAGAATAAAACATTATACATTGTTTAAGTTTTAGCTGTTATAACTACATAACTGACAAATACTTCCCGCAGTCTGTCATTAATAATTAGCGATGAAGAAAAGGCAGGGAAACTACTAGACTTAAATAGACTGTGGACTCTTCAGCTCAATACATACACTCAGAAAAAGCATCCAGCCACTCTAAATTAAAGGAAAAACCCAAACAACGTGACAAACACTTCCCAGTGCTTGTTTTCCATTAGGGCTGGAGTGAAAGGCTGGAATACAGTGTCCAAAGACCAGAAATACTAGTTGGTTTCCCTAAATCTCAATCTTTTTCATATCAGAAACACTTCCTTTCTACAAGGATCCCCCATTTATTTCTCCTGTTACCACTATCGAAAGGCCAGCATGGCCACAAACCCCTGGCCGCTGGTCACAACTCCTCTTGGGCTCACAGCACCCACATTAGAGATCTGGGAGTCAGCATTAACTCCTATTTTTTTTTCTGTAAAGCTGTTTTCATGAGCCAAAAAGGTGTTTCAAGAACTTAAGCAAAGTCTGTCCTTGGCAGCGTTAACAAAAATTGCAGCCACGTATACTTGCAGCAGGCTCTACACAGAGCAGAACTGGAAATATATTGTGCTGCCATTTCAGGGAACTGGAGAATGGAAGGAGTCCTTTTCCACATAGTTGGATCAGTGCTTGCCTTTGGCAGGGTTTTGCTTTAATAAACTTTAAAAGTATGTGAATACTGGACTACCTAGGTACTAGGGGACAAGGAATCCAAAAACAAAACTAAGAAAGAGTAGTTTCTAGTGTAATATAAATTATGATTTAAAATGTACTTAACATATTTTTTGGTATTTAAATTTACTGCAGATCTACTTCATCATTTACTATTTTCAGTTTCTACTTATACCATCCCATTGTATTCCCTGTACAAATAACTTCACTAATGCAAGTGATCAGATAATGCTTCGAGCTGAAAAAAGTTTTAGACGATCTTCTCAGAAATACGGTGATGGTGCTAATTATTATGTGGCCCACATGACATAATTTACACTGGATCTGCAATACTGTAACACCCTCATATTAAACTTTTTAAAAGAAAAAGAGGTAGAGAAAAGTGGGTTAAAAATGCTGCACGTCTATTTAGCAGCTAAAACCCAAAGAAAATACGAGTCAATGCTGTCTTAAAAATCTAAGTGTTCTAATGGTGTATGTGGCAGGCATTAGAAATTTAACAGGCAACTAAAACTTGCACATGGACTTAATCCAAGCTCTTTAAAATGAGCTCAGACTGTGAGTGACTAGTTGCTTGGTCTGGAGTGTGGGGAGCGCTATTAGAGAGAAAAAAGAGAGAGAGAGTGCGAGGGGGGAGAAATATTCTGGTACTTCCTTTGAGAGACACACATGCACACACGCTACTATTCAATTTTGGGGTCAGGTTGAGTCAGAGATATTACCCCCCAATTTTAGGCTTAAAGTGGTTTGGCAAGAAAAGACAATGGAAAAATTGCTCATATCTCCATGTTCCCATTAAGTTCTGAAGTCTGCTGTGCAAACCAAAGGAATGCACATATCATAGTTTAAAAAAATATATTAAGCCAGTAGTGGAAAAGAAGTTCTAGGATATTATTATCCTTGGCTATTTTCAAAAAATGAATGATGAAACATTTCAGTTAGAATATCTATTGGAATGTTACAAAAAAGTGCTCCAATTATGTCAGTGTCCCATCTGTGAATGTGATTCCTGCCCTGTACGAAAGACTCTGAAATCATTTGCTGACTGTTAGCTGGTGTAACTGTGTGCGGCAGGGCAGGCTTACAGATAGAAAGGGGCTACCTTGAGTGACAGAGCATTAACAGATGTGGGACAACAAGATGACACAGGGACTCATGGTCATCCGATGGAAATCTCTGCCGCGGCTAGTGTCTTGCTGACACCTGCAGAAGCACAGCTCAGGGAGCAAAGCTACTGAAGCATCTTTTTGCTAGCAGGGCGTTAGGCTATGCAAAGTCTTCATTCCCCATTCTGAGCCTGCTCTAATCATAAAAGGGGGCTAGGGCCTAAAATTATTAACACATCATCGTTTACACACCCTACATTAATGAGACTCTTGCACTTTGTTGTGGGTGCAGAAATCCTCCCAAAGCCAGAGACTGATCCCGAAAATGCCATGTGCTATTAACCCCTAGCAGTTCCGTGCAGCTCTTTCTTTGTGGAAAGGTTGGGAGCAGACTTGTGACACGAAGGCGAGTCGGTGCCAGGGTCTGCGCCCATCGCCCCTGTGCCCCTGGCAGGAGCAAGCACTTTGCATAAGGGAAAAATACATGCTGGGGCCCAGGAGCATATTCTTTCTGGAGCATCTCTGGGGTCTGTCGTGCAACTGACTGCACTGCTCATCTGGCTACTGTGGTCTCAAATACTTGATCTGGGGAAAAAAAATCAGTGCCTTTCATTTTGTTCTGTGACTGCAGGGCTCTCTCTGGGGAACATCTACTCTGGGGAAAGCAGGGCTGCGTAGCAATGGAAGTAGCTGTAGCTGCCATTGGAGTGCTGCCTTGTGCTTTGATCCACTGGTGTCCTATAGCAGGTGAGAGCGAGACCTTGCCAGCACTGA